GAAGATAGCATTATTCCCTCTCTTGGTCCTGGGAAACCCGGTAATGAAATCCATGCCGATTTTATCCCATTTCCATTTGGAATAGCCAAATGTTGAAGGGTGCCAGCAGGCCGTTGATGCTCTGCTTTAACACGACGACAGACGTCGCAATTAGCAATGTATTGAGCCATTTCTCTCTTCATCCTAGTCCACCAGAACCTCTGGCGTAGGTCTTGATACATTTTGGTACTACCGGGATGAATGGTGAGAGGGGATTCATGAGCTTCCTTAAGGATCAATCGCCTCAAGTTGCGTACCTTGGGAACCACTAGACGGTCTCCAAAGAACACGACACCTTGGTCATCAATGGAGAAACAATCTGCGACTCCTTTCTTGATGTTTCTCTTGATGCGGGAGATTCCCGGATCTACCTTCTGTGCCTTGATGATCTGATCCGTAAGGGTAGGTTTCGCCACCAGGGTGGAAAGGAACCCTCGAGGAACAATGTGAAGGTTAAGCTTACGGAATTCCTCGTGGAGAAGTGGTTGACTTTGTTGTAACATCAGGTTGTTACAATAGGATTTACGACTTAGTGCATCAGCCATGACATTGGCTTTGCCTGGGGTGTAAGTTATTCCTAAATCGTAATCCGTAATCAACTCGACCCAACGTCTTTGCCTGAGATTCAAATCTGGTTGGGTGAAGATGTATTTCAGAGTTTGGTGATCGGTGTAAATTTCGCAATGATTACCGAGAAGGTAATGTCGCCAGGTTTTGAGTGCATGGACCACTGCTGTAAGCTCTAGATCATGTGTGGGATAGTTATCCTCATGTGGACGCAACTGTCGAGAAGCGTAGGCAATCACATGACGATCTTGCATGAGTATGCAACCTAGTCCTTGTCGTGAGGCATCACAATAGATAACAAAGTCCTTAGAGAAATCTGGTGGTACAAGTACAGGAGCAGATGTCAGGCGTCTTTTCAGTTCCTGAAAGCTGAACTCGCACTGGGGGGTCCACTCGAACTTCTTATCTTTCTTGAGCAGTTCAGTTAGAGGCTTAGCAACCTTGGAGAAATTCTCGACGAAGCGGCGGCAATAGCTCGCTAAACCAAGGAAACTCCGAACTTGCTTGACCGTTTCAGGTGGAGTCCAGTCAAGGACGGCTTGAACTCGCTCGGGATTGACAGCAATGCCCTTACCAGAGATTACATGGCCTAGATAGGTCACTTCTGGCAACCAAAATTCTCACTTAGAGAATTTGGCATAAAGGCGATGCTCTCGAAGTTTCATCAATACTAGCCTTAGATGTTCGGCATGTTCCTCCTCATTCTTGGAGTAGATGAGTATATCATCGAGGTAAACCACGACGAATTTATCCAAATACTCCATGAAGATCGAGTTCATTAACCGAGAGAAGGTGGCTGGAGCATTGGTTAGGCCGAAGGACATGACTGTGTACTTGTATTGGCCATAACGAGTAACAAAGGCCGTTTTAGGAATGCCCCCGTTCTTGATTTTGATTTGATGGTAGCCCAACCTCAAATCCATCTTGGAAAAGACTGAGGATCTAGCGAGCTGATCATACAGGTCGTTGATCCTGGGGAGCGGATACTTGTTCTTGATGGTGACCAAATTGACAGGTCGGTAATCTACAACCATCCGATCCGTTCCATCCTTCTTCTTGACGAAGAGGATGGGGCAAGCCCATGGAGAAGAACTAGGACGGATGAAACCCTTTTGCAAGGACTCATCGAGTTGTTTCTTAAGCTCGGCTAGTTCTAGGGGTGCCATTTTATAAGGTCTTCTAGAGATTGGGACGGTTCCTGGAACAAGGTCTATTACGAACTCGACATCTCTGTCAGGTGGAACACCTGGCAGTTCCTCTGGAAAAACATCCGGGAAGTCACGGACTACCAGAATATCTTCAAGGTCTGGAAGGGGGTTGGCATTTAAGGAGTAAAGCTGACGCTCAGACACTCGGGTCAAAATATTGACTGTCTTGCCCGATGGATGGGTGAGTTGAACAGTTCTAGTGGAGCAATCAATCTTAGCGTAATGGGCTGACATCCAGTCCATACCCAAGATGATGTTTATGTCCGAGGACTTGAGAGCTATTAGTGATGCAAGGATGACCAATCTGTCGACAAGAATTTCATTTCCATTACTTATTCTAGAGGTTTGCCATCTAGAACCAGGAGTTTGAATTTCCATGGAGGTGGGCATGTCACTAAATGTGGTGTTGTGCAATCGAGCATAGCTCTCAGAAATAAATGAATGAGATGCTCCAGTATCAAAGAGAACAGTTGCCGGATGGCAATTAACAAGGAGCGTACCGAGAACGACGTTGGGGTCCTCATGAGTCTCCTCAGCTGAAACGTAGTTGACATGGCCACGAGCAGTGGTGGCTGGCTTGGCGTAGAGCACCTTTCCCGCTGGTTTGCCACGGCCAACAGACTTTTCGAACTGGTTGGGGTTGTTCTGGGGACACTCGCGGATGTAGTGACCCGTCTCCCCACACTTGAAACAAGTTATCACATTGGGGCGTGGAGCAGCATTAGCAGCGAGGCACCATAGGTCTTGGGCGATGTATACTGCTGGTTGGGGCGAGGCGCCTCAAAGGATGGCCTCGGAGTGAACCTGGGTGGCAGAGCAGATCTCACGGGATATAGATCCCTCGTATCCATACGTCCAGCTTGCACAGCCGGTGCAAACCGAGTCAACGTGGCCCAATGATCAGCACGGGTGTTAAAAGGCTCCAGTCTCAAGGCCTGATTCTCTCGGTCCTTATCCTCGAGCATCTCGGCAGTGGTGCGAGTTAGTGAGTCCTCCTAAGTGGAGTCGGCATAGATAGCCTGGAGATACTCTTGCGCTCCCGGAAGTGAAGCTGGCATATAACGGAAGTCGGTGTTCCGAAGCAGGCCAGTCCTGACTCGCATGATGGTCATCATGGAATAGGCAGCATCCTGCACAGCCATCTCAACAGTAACCCCGAGTCCATAGGAACAGTGGAGGGGCTCGGTAGATCCAGGACAAGAAGAAAATATCCTGACAGTGCAGAAATATTGGATTTGATTAAAGTCTCGGAATTGCTCTTCGATAGTGTATTCGGGATACCAACGGTAACCCATCTCGATCATTACCCGGACTAACATAGCCGTATGACCGGGCACATCGAGGCACCGGGTTAGGCGAACCACTTGGTTTTGACCACGAGTGGCCATCTGAAAGCACAACCACAATGCAAAGACATTAGAATTTCTAGGGAAAATCGGACAGCATAACAACTATAAATGCTCAGGAACAGATTTGAGACATTCACAACAGATTGCAAAACCACTCAACAACATCATAGCAATGTTCTGATTCAACTGATAACATACTAAAGTGGTAGAAACTGAACTGAGGCTGGTAATCAACAATCCTATAAGTTACTACGGATTAATAACACGTGAACCTGATAGAGAGAAGAGAGCCTAGTCCTTAACCCACGTAGAATGAGAAGAGAATGACACAGATCAGAGGGCATAAGGTAAAGGAGTAAAAAGAGCCTTACGTCCCTCCCACAATCAATTCCCCTACATATAACTAAAGCATTTCTAGACTCGACATCGACCAGTTTGGCTTAGCGAACCTATAGGCAGGCAGTCCGGCTCTGATGCCAACGCTGTCAGGACCCCGATTCCAAGTTTCTGATGAAAGATAGACATGATGCAACACTCTAATGCATGACTAGCTAGGTTGTGACATTATTTCAATCAATTTATTGGAACAGTGAAAATTTTGTTTTTGCGGGGTTGGAATAGTGAAATTTACAAGACTGTAAAAATTATATATCCAATATTGGTCTTGTTGGAAATGTCTTGTCGCTAGGATTACAAATGTATTAACAAATGAAGACAAAATTGTATTTAAAATAGATGAAGCATCTAAAAGCCCGTTAGAAATAAAATGCTATGAAAGAGGGATATATGAGAGAGAATGTGCAACCATGGGCAGTGCGTACATTTGTGTGACAAAAAGTTGGTGGGACCAGGTGAGAGAAATACCAGAGATTCTCAAACAGGAAACCGAATTGTCTGGTATATCAGGGATACGGGGTGAGGTGGCCGTGCGTAATTGGCTGGATGGGCATGGGTGCCTTTAGAAAGGAATTTGGTGTTTTAGTACTTGGCACTTTATTTTTCTTTACTTATTTTTTGACAATTGTCTTTCTTACTTTTCTTGTGAAAGGTATCCAGATATATTAGCAACGTTCACCACCAGAAGACACAGAGCATCTCAAACATAATACTCCCTCCGTCCGGATTTAGTTGACGTTTAGACGGATGTATCTAGTACAAAATCATCCGTTTGAGTGTCAGCCGAGCAAAACTAAATCGAGGTTCCGAAACCACCAAACTTTTTCTTTACTTTTTAGCTAGTTCTGAATACTTTTGGTGTTGTACCTGACTTTATTTAAAAAACTAGAAAAATATATTATAGGAACCAACTCCTAGATATTCAGTTCAAAGAGAATAAAATATAAATTGAGAGACAAAAACATATATTTCTTTTCCTTTTTCACTTGGGCTATCTCATATGTGGCCGAAAATAAAGCGGCATTGTGGTTGCACAGTACCAGATATTATAGGCATATGGTAGGGGACCTGTGAGTGATATTTGCGGGTAGGTACGGTGCTGCCGACCGTAAGGCGGCATGCATGCTACAGTAGTACCAGTACGTACGTGCGCGCATGCACGCAGCACACGATGCCACAAGCCGCAACTAACAAAAGAGGCAGCGCACGCGCGTGGGCGTGGCTAGCTAGCTAGCTAGCTTAGTACAGCTGCAGCGATCCAACCGGCCGGTCTTGCTGTTACTTCCGGTCAACTGCCAAAAATAAGCTCATGCACGCACGCTTTATATGCCAACATTGCCACACACACCTCATCTTCTCCACCTTCGACCCTAGCTATCTAACCCTATATCTAAGTCGACCTAACCATCGCAAGCTAGCACGTACCAGCTACTAGCTAGCCATGAGGGAGCCACGACGCAGTCCGAGCAGGCAGCCGATGACGGCGAGTCGCGGCCGGCAATGGCGCCGCCGCCGGCCGAAGCTTGTCACAGAGCGCCTGACTACTGCTAGTAGTGATGCGCGGTCGCTGAAGCCGACTACGGCTACCAGGGGACTACTCGCTGGGACGACGACGAGCTTCTCCGAGGACGAGGAGGACCTCCTCATCAAGCTGCACGCTTTGCTCGGAAACCGGTATATATCTACGTGCCTAAGACTCATGCATATATCGATCCTAGCTACGTACTAGCTTCTGTATATGTTCTGCTGATGACGAATCACGAATATATCTATCCAGCTGGTCCATCATCGCCGGGAGGCTGCCTGGGAGGACGGGCGAGGAGGTGGAGGCCCACTGGGGTTCGCCGGCGATGAGGAGGCGCGCGGCCGGCGGCGCCGATCCCGACAGCCATCGTGTGCTACTGCAGGCTTTGCTAGCCTCGTCACATGATCAACCAACACAACCCGGCGAGCATCTGCGGAGGGCGGTGCCAAACCAAGTACGCGACGAGCGCCCCGGTCGTCCTTACGACGACAGTGCAGTGTCGGACGCCGGAAGCCGCAGAGCCTGCGCATCATCGGACGCCGACAGCAGCTGGTTCCTCGCTGAACTGAACCTGGAGCTCACCCTGTCTACGCCGTGCAGTGCGTCTACTTAATTTGGAGGGTGTCATATCATCGGTTGATCGGTAATCACCTGGTGTTTATATATACTGTACTTCGGTCGATGGTTTCTGTGCCGTAAGAGACAGTCCTGTTATTGTACTATGCATATGCACACTGACTACTACTATATATGTATGACGCACAAACTAATCCTCACAAGTTTGAATTGATCCCATCACAGCCAGTTCATTACTCTTCATTTAATGCTCATGCATGTGTTCCTTCAAAAGTTCAGATATGAACTACTCTTGCTAATACTCCTACCTAATTTTATACCATGCATTAGAGAAGTAGAGGATGATGATCTTAAAATACTTTACTTTGTGGACCACACTTCTATTTTGAAAGTTCTTTTTATAAATATGATAATCATTCATTATATGAAATCCTAAGAACTTTACATGATTTACCCAACAGTACTAAAGCTAAAGCCATAGCTTAGAGCATCTCCAACAGGCGCCCAAAAAGAGCTCCGCGGACTAAAAATTAGTTTTTTTTGGGTGCCCAACAGCTCCAGCAGATGTTATAGCGCTAAAAACTTTTGGGCGCGCGCTGAAAAATGCTATCGCGCGCAGCATATTTTGGGTCCGGATTACGCGCGCTTCACAATTTGCACTGTATGCTTTTTAGACGCGCGTTTTTGGGCGTCTGTTAAAGCAATGTTGGTCCCGGCACAAAAAGTGCTAAAGTGGCGTGCTATAATTTTTATTGGGCGCGAGATTTTTGTACGGCCGTTGGAGATGCTCTTAGGTAAGCAATGAAATGAAAGACTTACAAAGTTATGTGGCTATAAATAAAGCGCTCACGTTGCACAACCTTGTGTTTTTTTTATTTAGTTCAGTCCCTGTCTCATTATTAGATAGTAGGTTGTTTAGTTTTCTGTTGTTTCCTTGGTGATCTAGCCGAAACGAGATTTCTAATAATGGAAATCGGAGAGGGATATCTCTTTTTCGTCAAACAAAAGTCGAGTCTCCCTATGTTTGTGTGTCTTCTCTATATTTTGTTAAATAAAGTGTCAAGAGTTACCTTTAGAGAGTGCTTGGATCCAAGGTATTATTTTTAGTCTGACTAAAAATAGTCTTTTTTAGAGGCTAAAGTTCCAAGCACCCCTGACTAAAGAGAGGCTAGGACTAGTCTTGAGGCTAAATTTTTTTAGTCATATGAAACCTACTAAAATATGTATTAGCCCTCTCTCTCCTCATTTAATTCCTCTCCTTTAACACATGCGGGTTCTGGATTGGAGGGTTTGGAGGATAATAAATGCTCAATAACTTGATTTTAGTCTCTTTAGTATTTGGATCCAAGCATGGGTGATGCTAACAAGTTTTAGTCCCACTACTTTTAGTCATGGGACTAAAACGTATCCAAGCATCCTCTTAGCATGATTAGATAGAATATGGTTACTAAACAATTGATTGATGTAGCTTTGATGATCTTGTGGGAATTTTCACAGCTCAATGAATTGGCATAGAAATCTGGTAACTATAAGTACAATATGTGTACCTATCAGTCTCTGGGCTACGCAAACTTTTTGCATGAGCATGAATGGTATATGTGTTGGACACTTGGAGCAAATCTATATAATTCATGCTTCACTTTCTTTTATTAAAAATGGCATTCTCTTGACTTCAATCTAATAATTTTTCTCTTTTTTAAACATTACATTACCACATGATTCATATGTTTTATTGTTTTCAAAATGTAAATGAAGAACATGCTTACATTTTATTTTGCACACGTTATAGTTGATTGTAGCATCTATTTATGTATTTGTTTTAACAAGAATATTGACTTATCATGTATTACAAATGGATAGTTCACAATACCTTGTGTGCATCTAGCTCGCTAGCTAGCTAATTACTTGATAGCCTATACTTCTCCTCTAGGGAGTAGTACGTGAAGTAAGAGCATTAAATCGAACCCCCAACTTCTCTCCTAAACGTCGAGACGGACTCCTCTGACACCGCCCAGACTCAAAAAGACCACCCTAACGGACCCTCCCGCCTTCCCTCCTAAACGTATCGGTTGTCCGAAACCCTCATGTCCAGCCTATATGTAGGGTGGATATGGGGCGGGTTGGAGATGTCTAGGCCCGTTCGTCACACCGAACCGGCGCATGCTGGACCAATTCGATGCTACATATACCCCACCCCGTCGACACCCTGGACAAAGTTCTAGTCCTCACTCTCGAACACTCCACTCCACTCTCTAGTCCCCCCTTCCGCTCCATGATGGCCAGCTCTGATAGCAGACCTGAGTCTGACTGGTACAGATCCACTGACTAGGATCCATCCACCATGGCGTGCTCAGACGAGGAGGAGAGAGCCCTCCTGGTTGGAGTCCGCCGTTCCCTGGAGGATAACGGAGCTTTGGCCTGGGAGCCGCCCAACCACGGATCCACTAGCCAGTCACCTCCATCTCCACTCCAGGTGGGATCCAACGGTGACAGCGCGTCCAGCGGACGCTTCGTCTCTGCAGCTGGCGAGTGCGGCTGAGCTTGTCTCCGGCAGAAGGCTCCGACACCCCAGCTCAGTGTATCCTAGGCTCTAGGTACTTGTCCCCGCGACGTTGGGCTTGGACTCTGAGGCCAGTGGGAGCAATGCTCAGTGCCATAGATGCTCCAGGGGTGAAAGTTGCGGACGCGCGTCCGTGGTCAAGGCTCGGCATGCCGGTCATGATAGGGAGAAGGTGTGTCGCGTAGTGGCGGCCGACGACGAGGATTACCGTGCCCGCATACTGTCCAACGGAAAGCCCGGGCTGCTCGGGCCCTCGCGATCAAGCAATCCCGGGCCGTTCGTGCCTTCACTGGACTTCCACCAAAGAGGAGGATCTGAACATGCCCAGTGCCACGTCCGACACATCCAGCTACGGCATCGAGTAGTTCCGCCTCAACCCTTATTGCTTCTTCGACCGTCACTTCCTCGACCACGAGGACTAGGTCAAGGGCAAGGGTGGCCGTGGTTGAACATTCTCTACAGTCCTATGAAGTAGAAGATGCAAAACTTTGGTAGTTCAGTGTCATGTATGATGAACTCTAAGCCGGGCAATCGCCTCCTTTCTACAAAAAAAATATGATGAACTCCCCTATGTTAGTCACTCCTATGTCTAGTCTCATACGCCATGCACGAACAACGTCCTATGTCCCGTATGAACTATGAAATTACATGTGCTGATTCACGTTGCATGTTTGTGTATGAATTTAAGGGTTTGAGTATCAGCGAAATGTCTGCTGCGGACGAGGACAAGTTAGGGACAGCCTGCTCTTGTCCATGGACAAGTCCGGACGTACACGCGGACATATATATTGAGGGTTAGATTTGTCCATTGCCGATGTAGATGCTCTAAGCGGCCGGCGGTGAGACGTGGCAGGTCTAGTCGTGACACAGAAGATGCAGCGCCGTGCGCGCTGGCTCCCATGCATGTCCAAGCACATGCATGCGGCCCGCGCGCAAATGTCGGATCGGCCGGCCTCGATGGATGATGCACGTGGCCATGCATGTTGCATATGCCTGTTATCTCCGGCCGGTCTCATCCACTCTTCCGTAGTTCCGGCCACCTCTCCTCTATAAATACCACACGTCCTACGTAGGTACGTACCTGTGCTAGTGTATCTCAATCAGTTCGTAGCCAGTTGATACTCCAGCCATGGGATCGAAGCGCATCGCCGTTGTGTTGGGCCTGCTCCTCCTCGTCGCGAAGGCGTCTGAGGCCAAGTCGTTCTCCGAGTGCTGGCGGATCTGCACTTGTAGAAAAATGGCCTATAGTCCCCGTTCGTAAGGGCCTTTAAAGTGTCGGTACTAATACCTCCCCTCTTTAGTCCTGGTTCAATCCAGAACCGGGACTAAAGGCCCTCCACGTGGGCAGTGCGCAGAGCCCAGTCAGGAGACCCTTTGGTCCCGGTTGGTGGCACCAACCGGGACCAATAGGCATCCACACGTCAGCACTTCTGTGGCTGGGGTTTTTATTTTTTTTAAAGGCGGGGGGTTTGGGGGGTTTTGGGGGGTTAATTTAGGTGTTTCATATATTGTGTTAGCTAGTTATAATTAATAGAGAGAAGTGTCCTCTGTTATGTCCGTACTTGATCGACGCTACGTACTATACATACGTATATAGAGAGGACTAGACACGCTAGCTAGCTAGTAAGCAAACGAAGGAAACAGAAGATCGTCATGAACATATATGCATATATACAGAGAGAAGTGATATCGACCACCTCTCCTTCTCCGAGAGATTGGTCGAACAACAAGTTCTCGTATATCTATCTGACACTACCGGCTACATATATACAATAATTATCTCTTACAAATATAATCATACGGACTCAGGGTCCACATAGAATTCTCCGTCTTCAGGGATCACGTGGTCAAGAAAGAATGCCGCCAATTCCTCTTGAATTGCTCGCATGCGAGCTGGTGCTAGGAGTTCATCCCGCTTCCGAAACATCTAATTTGAAGAAGGGGGTCAATACATATATATATGAATGAATGAAACTCAACACAAATGATGGTAATAAAATAAAATTGTGAATGTTGTTATTTACGTACTTCATATTGTTCGTTAGAGTACCCACCCCGCTCACAGGTCGTGTGGCGGATGGACTCGCAGATGTAGTATCCACAGAAATCATTCCCTTGTTCCTGCCACAACCACTTTACAAAAAATAGAAGTCAATCAAACTGATAAGCAAGAATGCTAAATGGTATTGATGAAACTAGCGCTTGAATCACTAGGAGATGCGCGGAACATGCTACTATAGTACTTACTTTCGGATGTCTAAATTCCAGCTCCTTCGGCAGTCCCGGAACTATTTTGGTGAATTTTCTCCAAACCCTGCCGGACAAAGAAAACAATTACTTGATATCAGGAAATGAACAAAGTTGCTGATATGGTGGATAATGATCGATTTAACTTACTTCTTGAGGATTTCAGTCATGTCCGCATACTCCTTGGGATCTTTTCGTTTAGAGTCCAAGACGGTTACTACTCCCTGCTC